AGGCACTGGGCAAGGGTAGTTGTTTTTCCTGACTGATAATATTATCTGGGGATTAAACACAGAGCAGCATCAATGTGGTTTTCCAACAGATTCTTTTCTTTTTTTCCTTTAATCATGTGCATTGAGCTATGGCTTTTTAGTCTGAAGTCCATTAGCTCCCTGGGAGCACTAGAATAACATGTAATAACATAATGGAATGACCTTTTTGGCGAGCTCTCAAGGTGGGCTGTGCAAGGGCAGTGGGTCCTTAGGCATTATACACAGCTCTGGGAGGGCAGAATGAGGGTGAAATAATTCCTCAACTCTTCCTCCTGGATAGTTTTACCCTAGGGAGAAGGAAACTTTGAATGCCAATGGCAGATTATATTTAGAAACACTAGAATATGGCCACATTTCTATCTTCTATTCTGCTGAGATGGAAATTTGTATTATATATTATGGTAACTGATACTGTTGAAGTGCTTTATGATTTATAAAGCATGTTCAGTAAGTTACCCCATTTCATCCTCACAGCAGTCCCACTAGGGAGGTATCATTATCTCCATGTCAGATGCAAGGCACTAAGCTGTAGAAGTTTGAGTGATGTTGGCTAGGCATCTTAGGTACTAAGTAGTAGAGCTCAGAGGCAGCTCAAGACTTTTGGCTGCAAAGAGGCAGTGGATTGGCAGGGCATCAGGTTAAGTAGAGAGACTAGGTTCAGATTCTGGTCCTGTTACTCATTAACTATGTAACTTTGGTCAGATTATTTAACTGATCAGTATAATCAAGCATATCAGATAATCTACAATTGTCTCATTCATCCATAACCTTTTGTCTTTGCTCCATTATGGGCTCATTGCTTTATAGACTACAGGATATTTGTCCTGGACTCCTCTTCACTGTCAACATGGTAATTTTCCTTGCCTCTGTCTGTGGGATCCTTTGTTTCCTAGGTTCCATGTTTTTTCTCATTTTTTATTCACTTGTTGTTTTGGTAGAGCATGAGTTCCAGTACCTTCCTGAGAAAGGGTGTATTGGTGGTAAGTTTTTCACATCTCAGCTCTTAAGTGTAAGTAAGTCTGTACTCACTATTGACAGATAGTTTGGCTGGGTATAAAATTCCAGTTGGAGATCATGTTGCATGAGAGTCATGAAGGCAAGGCTTCATTATTCTGTGGTGTGCTAATGAGCAGTCTTATGCCAATTCTGACTCCTGATCTTTTGTATATGGTGGGATTTTTTTTTTCTTTGAAATTTTCAGAATCTCTTCTTTGTCAGCAGTTTTCTGAAAGTTTTCAGTGATGTACTTTGGTGAGACTTTGATTTTTTTGTTTCGTTTTGTTTTTTTTTTAACTCGTGCAGGGCTCTCTTGACTGGAAACTTATATTCTTCAATTCTGGGATATTTTCTTGAACGATTTTTTTTTTTTTTTAATAATTTCTTTTCCTCTGTTTACTTCTTTTCCTGGAGTTACAGTAAAACCTCGGTTTGTGAACATAATTTGTTCCAGAAACATGCTTGTAATCCAGAGCACTTGCATATTAAAGCAAATTTCCCTGTAAGAAATAATGGAGGGGCACCTGGGTGGCTCAGTTGGTTAAGTCTCGGACTTCAGCTCAGGTCATGATCTCACAGTTGGTGGGTTTGAGCCCTGCATCAGGCTCTGTGCTCACAGCTCAGAGCCTGGAGCCTGCTTCGGATTTTGTGTCTCCCTCTCTCTCTCTGCCCCTCCCCCACTCAAGCTCTGTCTCTCTGTGTCTCTCAAAAATAAATAAACATTAAAAATTAAAAAAA